ATGTAGTAATACAGCATAAAACAAATTTCACCAGTTACACTGTAGGACAGAGTATACAGAAAGAAACAAATGGAGCATGTAAAAAAAACAAACACACTAAAATATAATGACGTTCACCTAAATGCAGAATGACAAACGTCAGCAAGAAAATATGAGTTTAGACTTTTTTTTTCCAGGACAATTTTGTATAGCAGTACATTCAAGAGTCAACCAGGGAGCAGGCTATCCTCAACCTGGTAATGTGCAATGAAACTGAATTAATCAATACATCATAAAAGGTGCCTCACGTGATCATATAATAGAATTTGAAATTCTGTTCGAGTCAATGACTAGTATTTTATAGTATTTTAAATCTAAATAAAAGCTAACTATGAGGGCATGAAAGCACAGCTCATTAAGGTGAACTGGGAAACTTTCATAAGGGAATTGGATCAGTAACTAAAAACAGAGAACACACAGGGCTGCATGGAACAAAGAAGTGGATGAATGGGACAAGTGAGTTGTTCTTACAGAGTAACACAGACACAATGCGTCTAAGGTTCTCCTTATAATGCTATAAACAAACTTTTATATTTTAAACTATCTGAAGACGTGCCCAAAAGGAAATGGTACAACAGGAGCTCATAGAAGAATAAAACAATTTGTCCATTTTTGAGATAGCAAAATCACAGCAGCAGTTGGACATCAAGATCTTGAAAGCAAAAACGGAATGTGATTACAACGTGGACAATTACTTCAGTGAATTGGGAAAGATTAGTTCAGGAATCTGAAACGTACACTTCATAAAATCAGAGGCAAACAGAGCATCTGACTCAATGAGCCTGATCCACAAAATTAATTTACTTTGATAGAATAACATTTGTCTGACTTTGTAGAGTATTTGTAAAAACTACCTGCTCAGTCATACCCCTTAAATTGATCTGACTGCAAATCTGAAGTCCAAATTATCAGTGTTCCAAGGAATATTCCATAATTAAGTTTCTTTAAAAGGTGAGAGACTGGAAGTGACAGGACCCAAAATGATACAAGCTTTTCCTCCAGAAGTTGAACACAACATCTGAATATTAACAATTCCAAACTTGAGAACCAACTGAAAAGTCAACCCTTATTCCCAACTCAATTGTTCAAAAGTTTGACGCTTTAACCCTAGTTGTATGAGATTGCGAACAGATTTAACTTCAAAATCAGAAAATGAAGCAAGTGCTCTTGATCAAGGAGAAACAAATCAAATAAGAAACGCAATAAACGTTAAAAAGAAATACTGTTCAGACTTGCCAACTTCAAACAGCTTTATGCAGAAATATTCCAACTGCAAGTTAAGGAAAGTTTCAAGCAGAACATCTACATAGTTAGCATACTATTTTAGAGTACAATGGATGGAGTATTGAACTCAACCTGAAGGATCCTCATGACCAAATGTTTCATCATCATTGGGCTTTAATATTTAACACACATGCTATCAAACAATGAGTTGCAACCTTCAGTTTTGCAATGTCGATGATAACTTGATTACATCCCTAAAGTACCTGCCTATAGCCACTACACGAAAACTACTTCATGTAGCTGATCATGAAGTAAAATGTCTTCATACCCATTACAGTAAGATAACGTTTTTGTCCTGTGCTGGCTTTTGACTAATGATATTAACGAGATGCATTAAAACCTAATTCACACTTCCTGCTTTGCATGGATTTAGTAAATTCTTTTTCCTATTAAAACTAATTACATGGAATGATGAATATGGTGATTTTCCATGTAGAACACCAACGTATCATACCTAAAAAGGTAATATGCTTAACATGTACAAGTACAGAATTGTAGATAAAGTGCATGCATCAGGTCAATGAAATATGGTTTCAGAGCTCTAACTAGGTGTCAAACACAGCAGATCACAGACTTAATAACAGTTCAAATAAGATCAAGCACAATTGTAAATTAAAGCAGTTTAGCTCATACAAACTGAAAAAAGAAGGATCAAAGCAAACATAAGTCCCTTAGAAAATGAATCTCGGGTGACAATTTCAGGAAACAAGGAAATGGCAGACGAGTTACAGATATTTTGCAGTCTTTAAAGCAGAAGAACCTAAAGAATACGGGGGAGGAATTAAGTACTGTCACTAAAGTACTATTAAACAAACAAATGTGGCTAAACGCAGATAAGCCCCCCTGGACCTGATGGCTTGCATTCTAAGAGGTAGCTACAGAGCTGCCGGATGCATTGGTTATAACTTTCCAAAAATCACCGTTCTGGAGAATTACCAGGTGATTTGCAAATTGCAAATGTGACACACCCATTCAAAAATGGGAGACAGACAAAATGTAACTATAGGCCAATGAGCCTAACATCTATTGTTGGAATGTATTGGAATCAATTAAGAAAATTGGAAAATGACAATGTAATCAAGCAGAGTCAGCATAGCTTCATAAAAAGGAAAGCATAGCTGAGCTCCTTGAGGAAGTCATAACCACAGTGCACAGAGAAGAGTCAGTAGATATATTGCTTTCAGACTTTCAGGTGGTGTTTGTAAAGGCACCTCATAATAAGTTAAGCCACAAGATAATAGCCCATGTTGTCAGTTGTGGTATATTCACATGGATAGAGAATTGGCTCATGGGCAGGAAGGAGAGAGTGGGGATAAGGGGATTTTTTGAGGTTGGTGACTAGTTGGGTTCCATAGGAATCAGTGCTGCGACTGCAACTGATTAAAAATATGTAAACATGACTTGGAGGAAGTGAATGCACTGTAGCCAAATTTGCAGGTGACACCAAAATAGGTGGAAAGGCAGGTTGAGAGGGATACAAACAGTTTACAGAAAGATATTGATGAGTTAGTAGGTGGGCAAAAAGTTAGTGGTGGTGTATAATATGGGAAAAGGCAAAGTTGTTCATTTTGGAAGGGTGAACAAAAGAACAGAATGTTATTTAAATGGGGAAAAACTGCAACACAGAGGTACTTGTGCATGAAATACAAAGCTAGCAAACAGGAGACAGCAAAGCAAGTGTT